GTTGAGCTAGTTAGGGTGCCCACTCGCTCTGAGACCTAGAAGTAGTTGTTTCCCCTTGCTCTGCAAGGGCCGCGGCTTTTGTGGAGCGACGGGTAATGGTGCTTCGAGGGTGACTGTTGTCGATGTGTGCAGAGGGTCCCTGGTTCAAGCCCAGGTTTGGGGCGAGGAGAGGGACGGAAGCAACACTGTTACACCTGCGTTTGTACATATGTAGTGCCCCCCCTCCCCCCCCCCCTCTAGTTATAATAAAAGACTACTGCTAATGCGAGTTTACGCAGTTCCAACATAATCTAAAAACTGGCAGCCCAAAATCCCAATCCTGCTATAATGTATTCACTAACTGTAAGTCGCTCTGGATAAGAGCATCTGCTAAATGACTAAAATGTAAATGTAAAATGTGACAGAGGCCAAGGGACTGGGCTGGGCCGACCCCCAGGTGACTAGAACCACTGGTTCCATGGAGACAGAGGCCAAGGGACTGGGCTGGGCCGACCCCCAGGTGACTAGAACCACTGGTTCCATGGAGACAGAGGCCAAGTGACTGGGCTGGGCCGACCCCCAGGTGACTAGAACCACTGGTTCCATGGAGACAGAGGCCAAGGGACTGGGCTGGGCCGACCCCCAGGTGACTAGAACCACTGGTTCCATGGAGACAGAGGCCAAGGGACTGGGCTGGGCCGACCCCCAGGTGACTAGAACCACTGGTTCCATGGAGACAGAGGCCAAGGGACTGGGCTGGGCCGACCCCCAGGTGACTAGAACCACTGGTTCCATGGAGACAGAGGCCAAGGGACTGGGCTGGGCCGACCCCCAGGTGACTAGAACCACTGGTTCCATGGAGACAGAGGCCAAGTGACTGGGCTGGGCCGACCCCCAGGTGACTAGAACCACTGGTTCCATGGAGACAGAGGCCAAGGGACTGGGCTGGGCCGACCCCCAGGTGACTAGAACCACTGGTTCCATGGAGACAGAGGCCAAGGGACTGGGCTGGGCCGACCCCCAGGTGACTAGAACCACTGGTTCCATGGAGACAGAGGCCAAGGGACTGGGCTGGGCCGACCCCCAGGTGACTAGAACCACTGGTTCCATGGAGACAGAGGCCAAGTGACTGGGCTGGGCCGACCCCCAGGTGACTAGAACCACTGGTTCCATGGAGACAGAGGCCAAGGGACTGGGCTGGGCCGACCCCCAGGTGACTAGAACAACCCTGAAGGTTCTTTGGTTCAGCAAACTACTTTTTAGTTCTACATGATCCTTTCTAATGCAGCACCTGTGACAAGTGTCCCAGCAGACATGACCCCATTGGCCCCATGTGGGTATTCGCTGGGAAAAGTGGGCATGGGTTAGCCCACACCAGCCAAACACAGGCTAGCCCACACCAAGCCCACACCAGCCAAACACAGGTTAGACCACACAAAGCCTTAAAATACTTATGTCATGCAATAAAATGCAAATTAATTACTTAAAAATCATACAATGTGATTTTCTGGATTTTTGTTTTAGATTCCGTCTCTCACAGTTGAAGTGTACCTATGATAAAAATGACAGACCTCTACATGCTTTGTAAGTAGGAAAACCTGCAAAATCGGCAGTGTATCAAATACTTGTTCTCTCCACTGTACATACTAACACGCTTTGGAAAGAGAAGTCATAGACCGGTTTTCACCTACAGTTTCATTTTGTTTCATTTCTAATATTTATGGATGGACTAACATCCTACTACTGTTTAATATAACTCGCAAACATTGTGAATATTTAGTTGGAGAAAGGATTGTATGCTAGTATGTACGTGTGTGTTACTACAGGGGGGGTTGGAGGGGGAGTATTTGTTTTTGTGTAATTAAATAGGTAGAATTATTGACCTGTAGCTAAATTGACCTTGGAATCTGTGTTTTATTACCACAAATATTATAAAATCAATATCATAAATTCATGATTTTCAAGCATGTTTGGTGCCTGTGTAACCAGTGTGAAATGGCTAGCTAGTTAGCGGTGCGCGCTAGTAGCATTTCAAAATCGGTGACATCACTCGCTCTGAGACCTAGAAGTAGTTGTTTCCCTTGCTCTGCCAGGGCCGCGGCTTTTGTGGAGCGACGGGTAACGGTGCTTCGAGGGTGACTGTTGTCGATGTGTGCAGAGGGTCCCTGGTTCAAGCCCAGGTAAGGGCAAGGAGAGGGACGGAAGCAACACTGTTACACCTGCGTATGTACATATGTAGTGCCCCCCCCCCCCCGTCTAGTTATAATAAAAGACTACTGCTAATGCGAGTTTACGCAGTTCCAACATAATCTAAAAACTGGCAGCCCAAAATCCCAATCCTGCTATAATGTAAGTAACTAGAAAATGATTTCATGCAAAACATTAATTAGTGGTCTATGCTGCCACCCTTTGGATTGTTTTGGAACTGCACAGCGCGCAGCATTCGTAGCTCTCATTAGTTAGCAGTAACGTGACCAACAACATTACGCTTTTTTTTTTTTTTTTTGTCAATCAAATATTGGACATGGTTTATGAAAACATTGCAACAAAATAATGATACAAATACTTTTCCCAACAATTTTTCTTCATGGAAAATTACGATATTGTTATGCACTTCTAATTTGTAGTTGCTAATATATTTTTTTTTATAAATGTTATTAACACCATATTCCATGGGTTTACTGACCACAATCCATTTAATTTACATTAAGCGTTGATTATTTGGCGTCAGGAGAGCATAGCGCATGGAAGAACGCAGTGAGATTGCAACATAGCGTTGTCAGCCCCAGGTCTTCAGCCCCAGGTCTTCAGGGCTAAGCCCCGGAAGTTCTGAATGTCTAGTGACGTCCAACGCATACAGCCCCACTAAACTCAGCTCAATACTTACCAGCCTGCTGATGGGCTGGGAGAGACTGACGTGGAGACTGGGAGAGCAGGGCTCCGAGACCTCTGCTGCACTAACCAGGGCCTGCAGGTGTTCCTTGGCCTGCAAACATAACATGAGGCCCATCAGGGCCTAAAATTAACGCCTGCCAAATGCCGGTAGATTTTAGCATTGGCGGATAAAATGTATATTTCACCAGCCACGTTGGCGGTTGGTCAGGGCTCCACAGTGCAAGCATTTCATTCGCATTTGTGAATAAAAAGTCAAGTAAGATCACATTTATTGTAAAACAAATGCTGCAGTAGCTGTAATCAAAGTATTTCTTCTGTTTTGTTTCATAGCTGGTAAATTAAATCGCAGTCAAAAAAGGACGAATCCTATAGACTATCCCACCTCGCGCTGCAACTCTACCTGGCTGGGTTCTGTGCGCACGTGAAAAGCTGAGTGAAAGATTCCTTTTTAGAAGCGCTGCGCAAAGGCATAAAAGTTGGTCTAATTTACTTGAGACTTTGACCTCGTGTTTCTTGGCTATTTACATTTTTTTTTTTTCTCCACAAGCTAGGTCGTTTTTCAATGTTTGAGTTTCAACTGCTAAGGAAGAGAAGACAACACTTCTACTAGTCCGACTCAATCTCACAGGCATGAAGATGACTCGATCAGTGGTGCCAACTCCTCAGTAAAGAAAATAGCTATTGGCTGTCCTAAAAAGTCGCTAAATGACGTCATGACCTAATTTGCATAATTGGCCATGTGTGCATGTAATTGTGGCGGACGCTGAAGAAGAGAGGAGGAATAACGCTGTAGGAGAGAGGAGGAATTACGCTGTAGAGAGAGGAGGAATACGCTGTAGGATAGAGGAGGAATTACGCTGTAGGAGAGAGGAGGAATAACGCTGTAGATGAGATGGAGGAATTACGCTGTAGGAGAGAGGAGGACTAACGCTTGTAGGAGAAGGAGGAATAACGCTGTAGAAGAGGGGAGGAATAACGCTGTAGAAGAGGGGAGGAATAACGCTGTAGGAGAGAGGAACAACGCTGTAGAGAGAGGAACAACGCTGTAGGAGAGAGGAGGATAACGCTGTAGAAGAGGGGAGGAATAACGCTTAGGAGAGAGGAGGAATTACGCTGTAGGAGAGAAGGAGGATTAACGCTTGTAGGAGAGAGGAGGAATTACGCTGTAGGAGAGAGGGAGGAATAACGCTGTAGGATAGAGGATGAGGAATTACCTGTAGGAGAGAGGGGGAAAAAACTTTGTAAAAGGAGGGGAAAATAACCTTTTTAAAGAGGGGAGGAAATAACGCGTAAAAGAGGGGGGGAAAAAACCGGGGAAAGGAGAGGAACAACGGTAGGAAGGGGAACAACGCTGTAAGAAAGGAAAATAACCTGTAAGAGGGGGAAAAACGCTGTAAAAGTGGAGGAAAAAACGCGAAAGAGAGAGGACAAACCTGTAGGAAGAGGAAAACGCTGTAGGAAGAGGGGAAAAAACGCTTAGGAGAGGGGAGGATAACATGTAGGACAGGGAAAACCTGTGGGAGGGGGGGGAAAACGCTGTAGGAGAGAGGGGGAAAAATAACCTGTGGAGAGGGGGGAATAACCTGTAGAAGAGGGGGGGAATAACCTGTAGGAGAGGGGAAAAACCTGTAGGAAAAAGGGACAACGCTGTGGGAGAGAGGAGGAAAACGCGTGGGAGAGAGGAGGAATAACGCTGTGAAGAGGGGGGAAAAACGTTTGGGAAGGGAAAAATCGTGGAGAGAAAAACGCTTGGGAAGAGGAGGAAAAACACTGTAGGCAAGGAGGAATAACCTGTTAGGGAGGGGGAAAACCTGTGGAGAGGAGGAAAAAACGCTGTGGAAGGGAGGGAATAACCCCCAAAAAAAAATAAGCGTAGGAAAAAAACAACGTGTAGGAGAGGGGAATAGCTGTAGGAGAGGAGGAATAACGCTGTAGAGAGAAAGGGAATACGCTTAAAGAGGAGGAATTACGCTGTAGGAGAGGAGGAATAACCGTAGGAGAGGGGGGAATAACCTTTGGACAAGGGGGAATAACGCTTGGGAGAGGGGGGAAAAGCTTAGGGAGAGGAGGAAAAAACCCTGTGGGGAGAGAGGGGGAAAACCGTGGGAAAGGGGAGGGGAATAACGTGGGAGGGGGAGGAATACTTTTGAGAGAGGAAAAAACGCTTGGGAGGAGGAACAACCTGTAGGAGAGGGGGAACAATGCTTAGGGAGGGGAAAACAACGCTGGAGAGAGGAACCGCTTTTTAGGAGGAGGGAACAACACTGTAGAGGGGGAACACGTGTAGGAAGAAAAAAAAACCTGTAGGGGAGAGGAAAACGCTTAGGAGAGAGAAAAACGCTTAGGAAGAAAAGTGAGAAAAAAACCCCTAAATTTTTTAGAACTAAAAATTAACTTTCTTCTGTCAATTCTTTTTATTTTAAAACATTTACATCCGCCCCGAATGTAAGCCACCGGGGATCAGCCAGCGGGTTTCCCCGCATGCGCGATTCATTTGCAGTTGGACGCGGAGGGTAAAACATCTCCTGCTCTGATGCAGCGGGAGGGACTGTGCGCGGGGACTGGGGGCCTGTGAGTGCTTTGGGAGGGGGGTGGGGCCCAGGGGGGGGGGGCCCAGGGCAAAACCCGTGCCTTTTGGAAGAGAAAAGAACGATAGTGTTTTCACGTCAAGTCTCCAAAACTCCAATAACACAAAAAAAGTGTAGATTGTCGCTAGTCAATTTTTTGAAAATGTGTCGCTAGAGGGGGTCTGAAAACTCACTAAATATAGCGACAAAGTTGCTAAGCTGGCAACACTGGACTCGATCACACTACCACGGTAACCTTCTGCCCTTAAAGGGGCAGGAGAACATTTATCTAATCTAAAAAATCTGAGTGGCTGGTATATTTTTTTATCTACCTGCCACAGTGGCTGCTGGACCAACAAGTTAATTTTATGCCTTGATGACCATATTAATCTACTGTATTAGTAGTCTGGTCCAACCACCAGAAGTCTGGCCAGCTTCCATTCTGTTTGGCGACAGCACTCATCAGTCTGTTTACACGATGCTACTGTACTGCTTGCATGTAGCCTCATTCATGTTCCCATCTTCTGAACTCACCTTGACCAGATCCCCGTCCTCCACAATGGTATGGATGGCTAGAACTTGGATAGCTTTCAGATTCCGCCCATCTTGTTGTAAAATCCTGAATAAAATACATAACAGTGATGTATTCATCACTAAGAAAAGTGGTTCACGGTTTACTTATAACCAATATAGTGTAACTATAACTACGCATAAAACAGCTAGCCAGTCCTTAGGTTTTAGGGGTCCTGGTTTCTAGTTACCTAGCAGCTGTATCCAGGGCCTGATCCCAGTCCTTTAGGGTTAGGGGTTTATGGTTCTAGTTACCTAGCAGCTGTATCCAGGCCTGATCCCAGTCCTGTAGGGGTTAGGGGTTATGGTTCTAGTTACCTAGCAGCTGTAATCCAGGGCCTGATCCCAGTTCCTGTAGGGTTAGGGGTTATGGTTCTAGTTTACCTAGCAGCTGTATCCCGGGCCTGATCCCAGTCCTGTAGGGTTAGGGGTTATGGTTCTAGTGTACCTAGCAGCTGTATCCAGGGCCTGATCCCAGTCCTGTAGGGTTAGGGGTTTATGGTTCTAGTTACCTAGCAGCTGTATCCAGGGCCTGATCCCAGTCCTGTAGGGTTAGGGGTTATGGTTCTAGTTACCTAGCCAGCTGTATCCAGGGCCTGATCCCAGTCCTGTAGGGTTAGGGGTTATGGTTTCTGTTACCTAGCAGCTGTATCCAGGGCCTGATCCCAGTCCTGTAGGGCCAGGAACAGCTTCATCTTCAGCATCAGACCAGGGAGGAAGTCAGAGAGGGAGGTCACTATCTGATTCACCACCTCCAGGGATCCAGTGAAGTTATGCTGGTTCATAAAGTACTTGGCCTGAGATTGAAACAAGGAATAGTAATCATCAGGCCAAATTCATTGATCAACAAATGTTAGGTTACTTTTCCTTCCACTGCTGTGCCTATAGCCAACCATCGCAGCTGTTGCCTGTCATGCAAATATTTTTTTATAAGAATAGTTTATAGCCAACCATCGCAGCTGTTGCCTGTCATACAAATACTTTTTTATAAGAATAGTTTATAATCAGTGAACCAAAGGGAGAGCTGCTGCAGAGCGCTGTGGTACCTTTCCCATCAGGCCGAACACATCCCTGGAGTCCTGCACTCCTCCATCCAGGTAGTGGATAGCGTTGTTCCTCTGAAACTCATCCTCTGAGTTCATATCCACCCAGCCCTTCAGGATAGAGCCCTGGGAAAGAGAGGAACAACTAGAGTTCACCACAGTGTCTTCTGACCAAGCAAGGTATTACTTTGGAACTACAGAAAATATCATTCATAGATTTGTCATGCACTTGGTAAACCTGAATATTCATGTGCTATGTTTGAAATCATACTATAGAGCAGGGGTGTCAAACTCGTTTTAGCTCAGGGGCCACATGGAGGAAAATCTATTCCCAAGTGGGCCGGACCGGAAAAATCATGGTATATATAACTTAAAAACAACAACTTCAGATTGTTTTCTTTGTTTTAATACGATCAACATACAACATAAAGCTGGAGCCTGAGGACAGTGTGTCCAAAATAGTACAAGCACAACATCACTATTAATCATAAAACACGTCAAGTTTATTTGAAAATTCTAAAGAAAAAGAACACACAAACACACAATGCCTCAGTGATTAACAGAACTGTTTCACAGATCACAGAACTATATCAGGGTGTCATTTCTCAGGCAGAAATGTAGATAAAAATAATGAAATCCTGTTCCCCAAACAAGTGCAAGAACCACAGAGTCAAGAATAGGTTAAATATACAAATAAAATAAAATCAATTAAAAACAATAGCACATCAACATAAAAACATATACATAAATCTGAAAGCGTTGCTCAAACTCCCGTAACAGTCCCGTTATTTTATCTTTGAACCGCTTCATGTCTGCCACATGTTGGGTCGCGCACACATTTTTCAGACAGGGGAAGTGAGCTGCATCACCACCGGCAAGTTGCGTCTCCCACAATGACAGCTTCAACTTGAAAGAACGTATGCTGTCATAATACTGCGTGGCAACTTTGTTGCGCCCTTGCAGCTGTTTGTTCAAGTTATTCAGGTGCTCTGTAACATCCACCATTAATGCAAGGTCCGGCATCCATTCTGCGGAATGAAATTCTAACACTGGTTTGCCCTTTTTCTTCCATGAACTGTTCAATTTCTTCTCGTAAATCAAAGAAATGCCTCAGCACAGCACCTCGGCTTAACCATCTTACCTCAGTGTGGTATGGCAGGCCATAGATGTGGTCTTTCTCTCTGAGAAGGCTGTCAAACTGACGGTGATTCAGGCTTCTGGATCGGATGAAATTAACAGTTTGGATGACTACCTTCATGACGTTATCCATCTTTAATGACTTGCAACACAAAGCCTCCTGGTGCAAAATACAGTGAAAAGTCAAAAAATCACGTCCTCCATTTGCAGATTGCACTTTCTCTCTGAACTTTGTCACAACGCCTGCTTTTTTTCCCGATCATTGAGGGCGCACCATCTGTAGCCAGGCTGACAGCGCGGGACCAGTCCACTCCGACCCTGTCCAGCGCGCCGACGAGTGCGGTAAAAATATCAGCTGCTGTCGTTGTATCTGTCATCGGCACCAACTCCACGAACTCCTCGGTGACGGTCAATGTGTCATCAACTCCGCGGATGAAAAAATGGCCAGTTGTGCAACATCTGTAATGTCCGTGCTTTCATCAATTGCAACCGAAAATGCAATAAATGACTTTAATTTTTCTTCAACTGGCTGTCCAAATCCACTGAAAGATCGGAAATCCTGTCTGCAACTGTGTTTCTTGTCAGGCTGATATTTGCAAAAGCCTGCCGCTTTTCAGGGCACACAATCTCCGCTGCCTTCATCATGCATGTTTTTACAAATTCACCCTCACTAAATGGTTTTGAAGCCACTGCGATTTCATTAGCAATGAGGTAGCTAGCTTTCACTGCAGCGTCACTGATGTCTCCGCTGTGAGTAAACACAGACTGCTGTTTCTTCAGACCCGCCAACAGTTCATTCACCTTCTCTCATCTCCGCTGTCCTTGAAAGTTGTCATATTTGTCGGCATGAAGACTCACATAGTGGCGACGAAGGTTATATTCTTTCAGTACTGCAACATGCTCTGAACACACCAAACATACAGCTTTCCCATTCAATTCCGTGATTAAATAGGATGACCATTTTTCTTGGAACACTCTGCACTCTGTGTCCACTTTTCTCTTTTTGACAGAGACATATTGGGGCAATGAGGGTGCCAAAGCACATAATGTTAAAAGTAGAAGCCGTAATAAATATCGCGGGCAAAACAAAGTAGCTCATTGGCTGCACGTGCTTGACCTACTTGCTCTGCCCCGGTATAAACAGTTTGCTTGCTTAACACAATTGCTATTGCGCCATCCAGTGGATACAATTGGAACAGCAGTTTATTTTATTGAATTAAAATAAAAAAAATGTATATATTTTTTTTTTTCAAAATCATCTCGCGGGCCGGATTAAACCAGTTTGCGGGCCTGATCCGGCCCGTGGGCCGTACGTTTGACACCCCTGCTATAGAGCTTCAAATGAGCCTAAATGATTGCTGAATAATACTGGTGTCGTGTATTGCTATGGACCTCTTTTGAGGACTTGGATATCTTCAGTATCTTGTCAATGTAGTCTTTGGCCTTGTCAACGCTGCCCATGAGCCACAGGAACAGGGCTCCATAGAACAGGGGCTTCTCTCCTGCTGTCTTCCGGATATTCCTCACGTGGGTCTCCAGTGCTGACAGCCTCATGATCTGCAGACAAGAGATAAAGACATTTACATTTGAGTCATTTAGCAGACGCTCTTATCCAGAGCGACTTAAAGTTAGCACATACATTCTTTTATCGAACCCACAACCCTGGCGTTGCTAACGCCATGCTCTACCAACTGAGCTACATCCCTGCCGGCCATTCCCTCCCCTACCCTGGACGACGCTGGGCCAATTGTGCGCCGCCCCATGGGTCTCCCGGTCGCGGCCGGCTACGACAGAGCCTGGATTCGAACCAGGATCTCTAGTGGCACAGCTAGCACTGCGATGCAGTGCCTTAGATAACTGCGCCACTCGGGAGAACTCGGGCTTTACACTGAGCTCCTTGACAGTATTTACACTGAGCTCCTTGACAGTATTTACACTGAGCTCCTTGACAGTATTTACACTGAGCTTCTTGACAGTATTTACACTGAGCTCCTTGACAGTATTTACACTGAGCTTCTTGACAGTATTTACACTGAGCTTCTTGACAGTATTTACACTGAGCTTCCTTGACAGTATTTACACTGAGCTTCTTGACAGTATTTACACTGAGCTCCTTGACAGTATTTACGCTGAGCTTCTTGACAGTATTTACACTGAGTATACAAAACATTAAGAACTCCTGTGGGGCGGCAGGTAGCTTGGTGGTTAAGAGCGTTGTGCCAGTAACCGAAAGGTCGCTGGTTCTAATCCCCGAGCCGACTAGGTGAAAAACCTGCCGATGTGCCTTTGAGCAAGGCACTTAACCCTAATTGATCCTGTAAGTCGCTCTGGATAAGAGCGTCTGCTAAATGACTAAAATGTACATGTAAAATGTCCTGCTCTTTCCATGACATAGACTGACCAGGTGAAAGCTACGATCTATTTCTTTTTGTTAAATCCCCCACCAAAAAGAAATAGATATATATTTGAACTCAGTCGGGATCTAAACTTCCTGTTGAGAGTTAGAATAATAGAATAGACGAGGTGCCATGTCTCTAGCGGCTATAGACTAATCTATCTAACTAAGCTATCTAACTAAGCTATCTAACTAAGCTATCTAACTAAGCTATCTAAACTTGTAGTAAGCGTTCTCGAATGTGGGGCCCATTGATCATCAGTTATCATATAAAAAAAACGGCAAACAATAGCCTCCACCCTATGGTAAAATGAATAGAATTGCATGAAATTAGTTATAAAATTACAAAATCTTCTCTCCACCCCGGGGGGGTGATGTATGGATGCCCACAAGCCACTGCGGCCCCTCATGATAAGTTCTATTTTTTTGTGGCCCCCAACTCCCATCAAAGTTGCCCATCCCTGGTGTAGCTGAAGGGGAGTAGACGGGTTAAAGAAGGATTGTTAAGCCTTGAGACAGTTGAGACATGGATTGTGTCTGTGTGCCATTCAGAGGGTGAATGGGGAAGACAAAAGATTTAAGTGCCTTTGAACAGGGTATGGTAGTAGGTGCCAGGCGCACCGGTTTCAGTGTTAAGAACTGCAACGCTGCTGGGTTTTTCACATTCAACAGTTTCCTGTCTGTATCAAGAATGGTCCACCACCCAAAGGACATCCAGCCAACTTGACACAACTGATGGAAGACATTGGAGTCAACATGGGCCAGCATCCCTGTGGAACGCTTTCGACACCGTGTAGAATCCATGCCCCGACGAATTGAGTCTTTTCTGAGGGCAAAAGGGGGTGGAACTCAATATTAGGAAGGTGTTTCTAATGTTTTGTACACTCAGTGTGTACTTCAGGATGTTGGTGTAGCCATGGGTTGTACAGTCAAAATGATGGAGGTAGTCAATCAATCACATTTATTTTATAAAGCCTTTTTTACATCAGCAGTTGTCACAAAGTGCTTATACAGAAACCCAGCCTAAAACCCCAAAGAGCAAGCAATGCAGATGTAGATGCACAGTGGCTTGGAAAAACTCCCTACAGTCACTCACTGTCTCTGATTCTGAATGAGAAAGACAGCCTCTGAATCATTCAGACACTCACAGACTGACAGAAAGACTTCTAAAGACCCCTCTGTACCTAGATTAGATATCCACTATATTATATTTATATATTAGATAGCCATTAGCTATTAGTGTTATAAGAGCCCCCATCTACTAGTGTTATCTCTTCTACACAAGGACCCAGTGATGACTCACAACCTACTAGGGTCAGGTAAACGTCCTCTTCCGTCCTCCCTCCTTTCTCTTCCCTCCCCCCTCCCGGCCTTGATGTTCTGTTGGCCATGCATCCATGGTCACCCCTGCAGCCCTCCTCCTCAACAGGTGCGTCATGTTTTAATCAATGCTGCAGGTGCCGCTGGTTGCCTGGACCCACCTGGCTTTACTGCCCCTGGGTAAATAAGGTCTTCCTGTCTCTGCTTTGTCTCAGTCATAAAACACTGCCTGATGTTTGTATATTATTTAGATGTTAAAGGCTCCCTAGCTATAATACGTCTGTCTAGCCTGCCTGATGTTTGTATATTATTTAGATGTTAAAGGCTCCCTAGCTATAATACGTCTGTCTAGCCTGCCTGATGTTTGCATATTATTTAGATGTTAAAGGCTCCCTAGCTATAATACGTCTGTCTAGCCTGCCTGATGTTTGCATATTATTTAGATGTTAAAGGCTCCCTAGCTATAATACGTCTGTCTAGCCTGCCTGATGTTGTCATATTATTTAGATGTTAAAGGCTCCCTAGCTATAATACGTCTGTCTAGCCTGCCTGATGTTTGATATTATTTAGATGGTTAAAGGCTCCCTAGCTATAATACGTCTGTCTAGCCTGCCTGATGTTTGCATATTATTTAGATGGTAAAGGCTCCCTAGCTATAATACGTCTGTCTAGCCTGCCTGATGTTTGTATATTATTTAGATGGTAAAGGCTCCCTAGCTATAATACGTCTGTCTAGCCTGCCTGATGTTTGTATATTATTTAGATGGTAAAGGCTCCCTAGCTATAATACGTCTGTCTAGCTGTATATTATTTAGATGGTAAAGGCTCCCTAGCTATAATACGTCTGTCTAGCCTGCCTGATGGTTGTATATTATTTAGATGGTAAAGGCTCCCTAGCTGCATATTATTTAGATGGTAAAGGCTCCCTAGCTGTATATTATTAGATGTAAAGGCTCCCTAGCGTATATTATTTAGATGGTAAAGGCTCCCTAGCTGCATATTATTTAGATGGTAAAGGCTCCCTAGCTGTATATATTTAGATGGTAAGGTCTCCCTAGCTGCATATTATTTAGATGGTAAAGGCTCCCTAGCTGCATATTATTTAGATGGTAAAGGCTCCCTAGCTGTATATTATTTAGATGGTAAAGGCTCCCTAGCTGCATATTATTTAGATGGTAAAGGCTCCCTAGCTGTATATTATTTAGATGGTAAAGGCTCCTAGCTGTATATTATTTAGATGGTAAAGGCTCCCTAGTTATAATACGTCTGTCTAGCCTGCCTGATGTTTGCATATTATTTAGATGGTAAAGGCTCCCTAGCTGTATATTATTTAGATGGTAAAGGCTCCCCTAGCTGTATATTATTTAGATGGTAAAGGCTCCCTAGCTGTATTTATTTAGATGGTAAAGGCTCCCTAGCTGTATATTATTTAGATGGTAAAGGCTCCCTAGCTGTATATTTATTTAGATGGTAAAGGCCTCCCTAGCTGTATATTATTTAGATGGTAAAGGCTCCCTAGCTGTATATTATTTAGATGGTAAAGGCTCCCTAGCTGTATATTATTTAGATGTTAAAGGCTCCCTAGCTGTATATTATTTAGATGGTAAAAGGCTCCCTAGCTGTATATTATTTAGATGGTAAAGGCTCCCTAGCTGTATATTATTTAGATGGTAAAGGCTCCCTAGCTATAATACGTCTGTCTAGCCTGCCTGATGTTTGCATATTATTTAGATGGTAAAGGCTCCCTAGCTGTATATTATTTAGATGGTAAAGGCTCCCTAGCTGTATATTATTTAGATGGTAAAGGCTCCCTGAGCTGTATATTATTTAGATGGTAAAGGCTCCCTAGCTGTATATATTTAGATGGTAAAGGCTCCCTAGCTTGTATTTATTAGATGGTAAAAGGCTCCCTAGCTGTATATTATTTAGATGGTAAAGGCTCCCTAGCTGTATATTATTTAGATGGTAAAGGCTCCCTAGCTGCATATTATTTAGATGGTAAAGGCTCCCTAGCTGTATATTATTTAGATGGTAAAGGCTCCCTAGCTGTATATTATTTAGATGGTAAGGCTCCCTAGCTGTAATTATTTAGATGGTAAAGGCTCCCTACTGCATATTATTTAGATGGTAAAGGCTGCCCTAGCTGCATATTATTTAGATGGTAAAGGCTCCCTAAGCTGCATATTATTTAGATGGTAAAGGCTCCCTAGTGTATAATTATTTAGATGGTAAAGGCTCCTAGCTGTATATTATTTAGATGGTAAAGGCTCCCTAGCTGTATATTATTTAGATGGTAAGGCTCCCTAATGCGTATTTATTTAGATGGTAAAGGCTCCCTAGCTGTGTATTATTTAGATGGTAAAGGCTCCCTAGCTGTATATTATTTAGATGGTAAAGGCTTCCCTAGCTGTAATATTATTTAGATGGGGAAAAGGGCCCTAGCGCATATTATTTAGATGGTAAAGGCTCCTAGCTGTATATTATTTAGATGGTAAAGGCTCCCTAGCTGTATATTATTTAGATGGTAAAGGCTCCCTAGCTGTATATTATTTAGATGGTAAAAGGGTCCCTACTGTAATTATTTAGATGGTAAAGGCTCCCTAGCTGTATATTATTTAGATGGTAAAGGCTCCCTGCTGTATATTATTTAGATGGTAAAGGCTCCTAGCTGTATATTATTTAGATGGTAAAGGCTCCCCAGCTGTATATTATTTTTGATGGTAAAGGCTCCCTAGCTGCATATTATTTAGATGGTAAAGGCCCCCTAGCTGCATATTATTTAGATGGTAAAGGCTCCCTACGTAATTATTTAGATGGTAAAGGCTCCCTAGCTGTATATTTTTAGATGGTAAAGGCTCCCTAGCTGTTATTATTTAGATGGGAAAAGGGTCCCTAGCTGTATATTATTTAAGATGGTAAAGGCTCCCTAGCTGTATATTATTTAGATGGTAAAGGCTCCCTAGCTGTATATTATTTAGAGATGGTAAGGCTCCCTAGCTGTATATTATTTAGATGGTTAAAGGCTCCTAGCTGTATATTATTTAGATGGTAAAGCTCCCTAGCTGTATATTATGTTAGATGGTAAGGCTCCCTAGCTGTATATATTTTAGATGGTAAGGCTCCCTAGCTGTATATTATTTAGATGGTAAAGGCTCCCTAGCTGTATTTATTTAGATGGTAAAGGCTCCTACTGTATATTATTAGATGGTAAGGCTCCCTAGCTGTATATTATTTAGATGGTAAAGGCTCCCTAGCTTGTATATTATTTAATGGTAAAGGCTCCCTAGCTGTATATTATTTAGATGGTAAGGCTCCCTAGCTGTATATTATTTAGATGGTAAGGCTCCCTAGCTGTATATTATTTAGATGGTAAGGCTCCCTAGCTGTATATTATTTAGATGGTAAAGGCTCCCTAGCTGTATATTATTTTAGATGGTAAAGGCTCCCTAGCTGTATATTATTTAGATGGTAAAGGCTCCCTAGCTGTATATTATTTAGATGGTAAAGGCTCCCTAGCTGTATATTATTTAGATGGTAAAGGCTCCCTAGCTGTATATTATTTAGATGGTAAAGGCTCCCTAGCTGTATATTATTTAGATGGTAAAGGCTCCCTAGCTGTATATTATTTAGATGGTAAAGGCTCCCTAGCTGTATATTATTTAGATGGTAAAGGCTCCCTAGCTGTATATTATTTAGATGGTAAAGGCTCCCACTAGCTGTATATTATTTAGATGGTAAAGGCTCCCTAGCTGTATATTATTTAGGATGGTAAAGGCTCCCTAGCTGTATATTATTTAGATGGTAAAGGCTCCCTAGCTGTATATTATTTAGATGGTAAAGGCTCCCTAGCTGTATATTTTTAGATGGTAAAGGCTCCCTAGCTGCTGTATATTATTTAGATGGTAAGGCTCCTAGCTGTATATTATTTAGATGGTAAAGGCTCCCTAGCTCGTATATTATTTAGATGGTAAAGGCTCCCTAGCTATATATTTAGATGGTAAAGGATTCCCCTAGCTGTATTATGATTTTTAGCTGGGTAAAGGCTCCCTAGCGTATATTATTTAGATGTTAAGGCTCCCTAGCTTGTAATTATTTAGATGGTAAGGCTCCCTAGCTGTATATTATTAGATGGTAAGGCTCCCTAGCTGTTATTATTTAGATGGTAAAGGCTCCCTAGCTGTATATTATTTAGATGGTAAAGGCTCCCTAGCTGTATATTATTTAGATGGTAAAGGCTCCCCTAGCGTATATTATTTAGATGGTAAAGGCCCCTAGCTGTATATTATTTAGATGGTAAAGGCTCCCAGCTGTATATTATTTAGATGGTAAAGGCTCCTAGCTGTATATTATTTAGATGGTAAAGGCTCCCTAGCTGTATATTATTTAGATGGTAAAGGCTCCCTAGCTGTATATTATTTAGATGGTAAAAGGCTCCCTAGCTGTATTATTTAGATGGTAAGGCTCCTAGCTGTATATTATTTAGATGGTAAAGGCTCCCTAGCTGTATATTATTTAGATGGTAAAGGCTCCCTAGCTGTATATTATTTAGATGGTAAAGGCTCCCTAGCTGTATATTATTTAGATGGTAAAGGCTCCCTAGCTGTATATTATTTAGATGGTAAAGGCTCCCTAGCTGTATATTATTAGATGGTAAAGGCTCCCTACTGTATATTATTTAGATGGTAAAGGCTCCCTAGCTGTATATATTTAGATGGTAAAGGCTCCTAGCTGTATATTATTTAGATGGTAAAGGCTCCCTAGCTGTATATTATTTTAGATGGTAAAAGGGGCTCCTGCTGTATATTTTTAGATGGTAAAAGGGTCCCTAGCTGTATATTATTAGATGGAAGGCTACTAGTGTAATATTTAGATGGAAGGCCCAGCTGATATTATTTGATGGTAAAGGCTCCCTAGCTGTATATATTTAGAGGTAAAGGCCCAGCTGTAATTTTAAGATGGTAAAGGCCCTAGTGTAATATTAGATGGGAAAGGCTCCCTAACTGTATATTATTTGATGGTAAAGGCTCCCTGCTGTATATTTAGATGGAAAGGCCCAGCTGAATTATTTAGATGGTAAAGGCTCCCTAGCTGTATATTATTAGATGGTAAAGGCTCCCCAGCTGTATATATTTTGATGGTAAGGCTCCCTAGTGTATATTATTTAGATGGTAAAGGCTCCCTAGCTGTATATTATTTAGATGGTAAAGGCCCCTAGCTGT